CTCTACTATATTGAAGCATGTCTGGCAGATGGAACTCCCATACCAGCAGATTTGATAAAAATAGCATCTGAACCTGCTCCAGAAATAATTGAGAAGAAAAGAAGGAAGAAGAGAAAGGTTTCAGAAGAAGGTTCTGCACGCCCCAAGAGGAAAGCCTTTGAAGAAGGTTCTTCTGAGAAGTCCTTCAAGCGTCTTAAGAAATCAGGTAACACTTCTGCTATTCCTGTTCTAGAAACTATAACAGAAATTCCTGCATCTGAACCTTTTCCTCCTCCCTATGACCCAATTCCCACTCCTTCTCCTCCTCACACTACTTCCGAACATGTTCATGATTCTGTTCCCTCTGAACCACAAACATCACAACCCTCTGAACCACAAACATCTGAAGCTAAACTCTCTGAACCACAACCAGATGAACCAAACCCCTCTAAACCAAACACTTCTGAACCTATCCCCTCTGACCCTGATCATGACATCCTTGACATACAACCTCTCATGACAGTACACCCTATATCATCTGGATCATCTGACTCGTCAGATTCCTCTAATTCATCTGACTCTGACCTTTCAGATGTTACCTCACCAACACATAACTCCCTAAACCAACCTGATGACATTCCTACTTCCATTCCCACTCCTACTAAAATTCCCTCTCTTACTCCAATTCCCATTCCTACTTCTCTTACCATTCTTACTCCCCTTCCACCTCTTTCCTCAGAACAACCCTCATCTTCTGAACCTACACCTTCTGTTAACCCTAAGGAATCCTTCTTAAAGGCTCTCCTTAAACCTATACCTAGATCAGATGTTGGGACACTGTTATATGGTTTCGAGACAGAAATGCAGATGTGGTTATCTGTTACTAGGGAAAGATGCCTGAATAGAGTGAATCCTCGTGATTCTGAAGTATTTTGGACTACTTTCAGAAGAAGGTTCAACTCTGCGACTGAGAATCTTTAAGCTGCTTGCTCTGTAGATGTTCAAGAGAACTTTTTTAAACCTGTCAAGTTTGCTCTTCTGGGTTTACGCAGAACTCCTAGATAAATCAAAGGTTAAAATTAAAAGAAGGAGGTGAAATAAAAAGTTTTAGCCCTCAGTTTTAAGCTCATCATCAGGAAGAAATTCGAGCAGCCGGAAGGGCAACAACCGAGGTTGTCACCAACTCCCTACAAAGCATCGAAAGAACAAAATTTCAGACAAAGCTAATTTCGGACAACTTTCAACATAATGCAGAAGCATCATATTTCACCAAATAAATCGAAGGCAACAACAATGAGTTCAAGCCCTTATGGTTCAGACTGTTAAGTCATCATCACCAGATACGACCTATTCCTCGACGGCATCAGGCAGACAGCTTCTGAACTTAGGCAGTTTCCTGAAAGAAGAAGAAAAATGTTAATATGGTTCATGAATAAATCCGAAAATAACCTTTCCTCAACAGCAAGACGGAACAGGGTAACCGACAATAGCTAACGGTACAATCAATCTCCTTTCAAAACTAACATTAACGCCTGCAAGTGAAGGGATGCAAATCAGACGAATGAATTTAAGCAAATTAGGAAACAAGTTATCACCAGCAAGGACATGCCAAGACAAGGAGACGTTCAGAAAGGCAAGGATTTTAATTGTTTCCAAAACGAGATTACAACTTAATGGAAATCTGAAACATGTCCTAACATGTTTATTCTAAAATGGAAGGTTTTATTTCGGTCTTGAAAGACTTCTTATAAGAGCAGAAAGAAGAATCGCAAAAGGGGGGCTCTAGAACTTCAACGAAAACTCAAAACTCGCAACTCTGTAGTTTCAATTAGCTTCAGCCCCAATTTCAAATCCAAAACCTGTAAAAAATTCATTCAACAACATTAAGACGCAACACCAAAGACAACGACTCATAGTAACCCAGAAAATACACAGAAATCCCAAATTGAAAAAAAAACTCTAACATACAAAGCAAAAATCGAAGAAAGAAGAGGAACTTGTCTCTTCTTAGATTCGCTGCAAATCGCCGGAGACCATTTCACACCCTCAAATCGACGTCACCGTCACCGTCAGTGGATCGTCTACCGTCGAAATCCTCAACCACCACTGGCAAACTTCCGCGAAGTCCTCGCGCCGTCCGCGAACGGAATCCTCGAAAACCTGCACCAATCCATTTCAGTTTGATTTTTATGCTAACCGTTTAAATTTTGTTTTCGTGTTTGATTATGCAGAGGACAGAGGAGGAGGCGAGATAGAAGACGAAGATAAGAGACAGAGGAAAGTGAGAAGAGCGAAGAAGAGGATTGAAGAGGGAGAAGACGAAGAAGCTCAGATGGGGGGGGATCGAAAATTGGGGATTTAGGATTTAATTTTGTTTTATGTTGTATTGCAATCACATGTGCACACACACACACGATATTACCATGCATCCTACGCACGTGACCCTTAGATCTCCAACGGATCTAATCCACTGATCCTCACCCGCATCCCCACCATAAACCTCATGCCCGCACACCGCACAGGATTACACGCCCTTAATCACCACTTAACACTTAACCCTTTGTTAACCACCCTTAATCATCATTTAACTTTTAATTAACTCAAAACTCTTAATTAATCTGTCCAATTAAAAGTAATCCTTTTATTCATTTAATTATGTAACTGATAATTACTTTTTTTAATAAAAAAATCGAACTAATTAAATCTTAATCAACCTTCTTTATAAAATTAAACTAATGACCTTTTTTAATTATTAGATCTTTTTAATCATCCTTTTTTATTATAAACTCAGTAGCCCTTTTTTTAAAAAAAATAATGATATATCTATTTTTCATTTTCTTAAAATCCAATTCATATTTAAAATAAATTTTAAAATAAATAAAAATAAACAACCCCCTTTTTTAATTCAAATAACTTTTATCTTTTTATGATAATAACTAAAAATTCATCCTACTTAATAGAACCTTTTCCTCAAAATTTATATTTATTTAAAATCTTTTCTATTTAAAAACCTAATTATTATTTTAAATCTAAAAATAAAAAACTTTTACTAAAACGAATCTAATATAATTTCTCATAAAAATCAGTCTCACCAAAATATAATACGACTAAAATTAATCAATATCCCCAAATCAATCGTGCACTCTTACGTTTCCGCTCCGATTCATTCACATATTCACTTTCAGTCACTTGTATATTTTAGCGCTTTCATGCGTTTGTATATTTTACTTCATCAGCAATTTACTTTTATCGTATTTATTTTTATCGCATCGCATAAACGTACAAATGAAGAATCTGCGCATAATGTGAAACTTGTGCGTATGCATTTCATTTGCATCATAATCGTCATTTGATCCTTGATCCCATTCAAGTTGATCTCTTAAGTTTAGATCCTACCCCATAAGGAGGACCTTTGTCTTTTTTCTTTTACAACATAGACAAACAATTCAACTCAAATCAGACTTATTCAAACACAATAGAGAATAAGATGTTAGTCATCTTGACAGTCGAGATAAATCTCCTGCCCCATAACAATACAATTGCGATGTAGAGACTTTTCCGCCTAAGAGAGATAGTGGCGTACTCGTCGATTAAATTCCGAGTGCTTGAGCCCTTCTCTCAAGACGATGCAAAGACCATTTTCCTACAAACTTGTGGTGGTTAAGTTAAGTATTCTCCCTCGAGATGACAACTCTTCTTTTCTCCTAGACCCAATCAATCAACAAACCTTTGTCACTTAGGAACTTTGACCAACAGTCAAAAAGTTCCTCAAACCCTTTAGGGGAACTACAAATACTCTGATTCCATTCCCGTCAAGATATGTAGGCACAAGATGCGACGTCTTGTCGAGTATACTTAGAAATAAACCACTAGGCCTCTCATCCTTAAGCAGATAACCCTTAGCAATAAACAACATAAAACAAAAGGTTCCTGTAAAGTACTACAGAAACTTAGGATGCTAACATCTTTCCTAAGTTTAACCAACCCCTGAACCTAAACTCTCTAGCTTTTGCATTTGTATTGCATTGTGGGTAATTCGATCTTTTTTCCTTCCTCTAGACAAATTAAAGACCGATGGTGAACTAAATGAATTACGATTCAGATTAATTAATAATTTGACATCCAATTCTCACCGCGACAAATAACACATTATGTTGTTTCCTTTTCAAATTTTTACCACTTCTTATTAGATTGCAAGTATTCTCTAAATGATGCAATTTTTGTTTGTTAAACAAATTATTACGTTTTATTTTATAAAATACCTATATTAATAAAAATGAAATAAATATGTATGCTATAGATTTCCTCCTTGTCTCAATTTAGTCAAATATGTCATTTTTATTCTTTTTTTCATTGAATTTAATTGATATGCACTGACTGTCATCTAATAAAAATTTATCAATCTATTATATCATATTAGTAATTTAATATTTACAATATGATGTAGATGGATACATGAGAATAATTAGTTGACAGTATAAAATCATTTATTCTGAGCGCATACCAATTAAATTCTTTTTTATTTATATATTTATCCGGCAACAAAAGGGCACTGCATAATTCTTTTCATCACAATTGGGTTCAATGTATCATTTTTATTAAGGGTAGAAAATGAAAGGAAGAGACAGATGAAATTGGTTGCAAGATTCAAGAGACAGATAAAGTTTATTTTTCACAAAGCAAAATCCTATTTTATATATTGAGTAAATGAAAATTTCTAAGGGATAATTTGGTTAATTAGGTGAATATCATATGTTTCATTTATCACAAATTTAAAATTTTGAATCACTTCATTGAATACTTCTTAAGCACATGAGTTAAAATTTTATAAATCAGTTATAAAATTATGTACGATCTTAAAAATTCAACTTCTTCTATCACAATATATTTACAACAGATAAAAATTTTTTATTTTTTTAATGTATCATTGGATAAAGTTATTTTAGAGTTAAGAAACAATAAAGACCTAACTTTGTATTATCTATTGGCATATATATACATATATACATGAATGTATTTATCTAAAAATATTCATTATGAAAAGGTTGTTGTTGCACAATTAAAACAGAAAATGTAAAATCTGATGTTGCTAAGAGGTTCCCAACAGGCCCAAGCTCAGGAAGTTCACACCATTCTGTCAATCCCAAAGTACATGGAGAATTTGGTATATGATGTCTACCAACTATAACTAAGTTAAAATTACTTTCCATCATACGAATAACTTGTGTTGTTCCTTCACCATCTTCAACAACTTCTTCCTTAAAATAAACCTTGTCTTTAAGGTCACTTGTATATCTTATATGTTCCATCATATCAATGTAAGGACTCTTGACACTAGAATGTTTTTGTTGCTTTTTAAATCTCACCCAAATCACGGTGAGTCTTACATTGGGATGCTCCGCGATGCGCATAGCATAGGCCAACGCTTCTTGATCATCGGCGCCTCCTAGGAATATCATGGCGATTTTACAAAAATACTTTTTGTGTATAACAACTAATTTTCCACTCATTTGGCTTCGGTCGATCAAGACTCCGATGGAACATGGAGCTTTTTTTAGTACTTTTTGGTTCACCAACCTAATGGAAGCATTGGAAACTTCAACAGTTCCATTCATTGACCATTGTTTGTGAAATGGCACAATCAAAATGTTGGATTTTGTATCCATTGCCATGTAGCATATATCATCATGCATGCTAGCATAGGGTGCAATTGCTGTAAAAAGTTGCAATGTGATACATTCTATGTTATGTAAAAGAAATTTATTGAACACATTGCTTATATTTTGAGTTGAAGTATCTTTATAATTTGATTTTTTATGAGCAAACTCATTTTTTATATTAATTGAAGCTGCTCTGCCGGATAATTCCATGAGATGTAGAACAAAGACGGAAATAGGTGATGTGATTGTTGGATTTGTGGCTTCAAGAAGGTTAATCATTGGATAAACATTTTCTTCATTGTGAATGCATACAAGTACTTTGAAATCAAAATCTCTTCCAGAGTCTTTAACCGATTTTCTTATATAGGCTTTGTATCTCCTTGAAGGGTCATATATGTAATAAACAACGAGAGTCGCAAATCCGGTTATCGCCACCATTGTATAGATCATCAGAGTGAAGGAAAGTTCACCTATTTCCTGTTAATACAGAGAATTTTGTTTATGTTTTCGTTCGTAAATAAATATTAAAAAGAGTTGTGTATCGAGAGTACCTTATTATATAATAATATGTTGAACACACAAAGATCCAATAGACCTCTGCAACACATGATTAGAGCCAAAGCAAGAGAATCCAAAATGTCAATATGAAAATGAAGTGATGGTATTATGGTTCCAACAAACTTTCCTACGAACACTGCAATTATAACAACCTCCATGTATACTGTTTTTGATCCTGCAATATTAGGAACACTTGTCCTTAAACCACTGATAGTACAATAAGCCGGTACGATCAAAGTAGAACCAATGACATCAAGCTTTTCGGCCAAAAAAGAACCTAAAGGAGGACCATCTGGCAAAAGCACACCGAACCAAAAGGCCGTCATAAAGTATGGTTGTCCCGCGATTAGTCCGAAGAATCCAATGAACAAAATTATACAAATTATCAACAAAAAATGGCCTTGTGTCATGGAATTTCCCTTGCGATCGCGGTTAGAGATCCATATAACCAATGGCCTTAACACATAATATAAGAATCCAAAATAAAATATTGTTATAGTCCTTTGTATAAGAATTTGATATGATTTGTCATCTATAGCTTTTTCTCCAGTTAGTATGACTAAATAAATCGTCCACATACATGCATCACTAACCATTGATGTTGATAATGCCATTCTTCCAATTTCTGAACTTAGAATGTTCATTTCACTTAAGAAGCTACTTGTAACTGGAAATGAGGTTAATGACCCAAAAAATACTAAACCTTGAACTTCATTTTTTTCAGATCCTAAAGGTGAAATCATTTCAACAATATTTAAAACTACTAGGCCAAATACTATAGAAGATATATGGCCAAATATTCCAATTATTACTGCACGTTTTTCAATCCTCCTCAGTTGCTTGTAATTTATTTGCACTCCCATCTTAAAGAAATAAATTATCATTCCAAATTCTGCAAATGTTGAAAGTGTCACTATGCTTGATGCTGGAAATAGCATCTCAAAACTTGTATTGTGTCGACCTAAGACTAATGGACCAACTATGATACCTGCCTGATAAGATAGAAAAAAAAATATTATTACAATGATGACGATAAAGGGTTGATAGATTCAGAGCCGTCTTAAATTTTTTGAGACCCTTAACGGGGAAAATTTTGAGGCTATGTGCGATAGCTTGTCTTTCAGACTCTCAAAAGACGGCTCTGGATAGATGTTGATGATAATTATGTTTAAAGAAATAAAGTTACCATAATTTGTGCAATGAGAAGAGTTTGATGAAAAGGGCTTAACAAGAAATGAGTTAGTCTACTAATAGAGAACATAAGAATGATTTGAAATATTAGAACAGATGTGGTTCCATGGAGGGGATTATCTCCATACCATACACCTTTGTTTGTATCTCTTGCAATGTATTGACAAGCTAATCTTTTATTATCAATCATTCCATATGAAGTCAATTGATCTAGTCTTTTATTTGTTGTTTCTTCCATTTTTCTATTGATTGATGAAAGTTAATCATCTAAAGGATTAACCAAAAACATGTCTTCAAATCTAAATAGGAAAAATGGAAATTTACTATAGAGAATGTGTTTGTGAGAAAGGTAATGGAAAGAGAGAGGGAATTACAATAATTTTGATAATGAGTGAAGGAGGAAGTTAGAAGCTTAATGGTTGAAAAGTAGCAATTATTTTTATCCGATAAAGTTGAGTGGGGGCTAATTATAGATGATTCCTAACAAAAAGTAAACTTTTATTGTTTTTTTTTTCTTTAGTCAACATGAGGATGGAAACTTGGTAAAACCATGAGTATGGTAAATTTTTGTCGCTTTATTTTTAACAATCAAATAAAATAAGGTTGTTATTTTGTAACATGGATATTCGATTGATAATCTATAATCTATCTTTTGTGAGTTATCATTAGTTCTATTTATTTCATTTTTTTTAGTTTATTTAGTTTTGTATTAAAGTATTTTAGATTATTTTAGCTATTTTATAGTGTTTAGCATGGAGCACAATAGGTGCTCTTTTTTGTTAGTTTAATATTTTTCTTACTTGAATTAAGGTTGTTTATGATGAATTAAGGCAAGACGGTACCCGACAGTACCTCACTGTGTTAGCTGAAGCAAGAGATGAAATTCTATCCAAGAGCTTGAAATGAAGAAAACAACTGAGTGCTAGGGAAAGCGTAACAGAATTTGAATACTAGAGGGAAATATGTCTGGACTAAAGTGTAAATTCTGGCTAGCCCACGATGGATGTTTTAATAGAAGTTATAACATCCACTGTGACATTCACTACAGATCTACTATTATGCAGCAATAACAAAGCAGTAAATAACACAGTTAGTTGTTGACCCAATCCAGTGCAACACACTTACATCTGGGGGCTACCAAGCCAGGAAGAAATTTCACTATTAGCAGTATCAATTCAGAGTCAAACCTCCAGTTTGCACTCCTCACTTAATCACTACCCAATGACAATTTAACCTAGAGACACTCTAGACCTGAGTATACCCACTCACTCCCTACAATCACACACCAGTGATAACTACGAGTTACAATTTAAACAGTAGATTGAAGAGACACTTCACCTACTCACACACACTTTGATCTTGCTTCAAATCTTTGATCAAGGAACACACACTCTTGCTTAACAGCTTCGAGTGGAACACAGCCTGGAAACTACCTAACCAATGCAATCAACAGTTGCTTGGGTTACAAGTATTCCTAAGACACAAACGTGAAGAACAATCTCTTCACTTCTAAACCACTATGGTGATTTCTCTGCTTCTCTATCGTCAAGAGCTGCCTTCTAGGATTGTCTCTCCTGGTATTTGTAGCAGAAGATCAGTCCTTGGGTCTGGGCGCATACATTAGGTTTTATCCATCATAAAACCTCACTTATGTATTCTGCATGTTTGCCTCTTTAATCAGGTACATATTAGTTCCCCTAGGGCGTCTAAAATGTCTTCTGCATTCCAGCTTAAACTTCTGAGTTGTTTCCTGAGTTATAGCTATCAAAAAAATAAACTTCCGCTTGATGTCATACGACCTATGTTATAACATTGAGTATGACATCCAACTTAACTTATAGTTAGCTTAGTTAACTTACCCTGCACAGTCCATATTATGAATGTAATAACATCAAACATGACATTCATATATGTACTTATATTTTGCCACAAAATGCAGCCAATCAAGAGCACATACAAACTCCCCCTTTGGCAAATTTTTGGCTAAAACACTCTACTTACATCAGAGATTTCCTACACAGCAGAAGACTTAACAATGGTCCTGTCATGCAGGTAAGTCACTTGCTGCTCAAGCTCTCAGAATCCTCACAGTTGGCTTTCAGCCCTGTTAGCACTCACTTTGTTAACTCTCTGTAGACTTCTACTACATATGTCACTCTTTGCTAGTTTGAGTAACAGAGTTACTCCCCCTCAACTGATGCACTTATCAGTTGGGCAATATCCAGTCTGAACTGGATGCTATAACATTCAGCATGACCTTCTGATGTTACACATTTGTGCTACTCCCCCTACAGGGATGCATTCTGCTCCTTGCACAGAATTCCTAAGCATCTTGTTAGGATCATCCATGTTAGTACCTACAGCATGTCAGTCCTAGTTCTAACAAACATGGCATACATATCATATCAGTAACAGCCCAAACAGCTGTTATCACACACACATCTCATCAGCATCACCTGCACACTAATCTCATAAGCACACTCATATCATAAGCACTATGGTGCATATGCTCAATCACAAATCATAATCACTTCTCATGGCAGTCTTGTTCTTCCACCTGCATCTGTTACTACCACATAACCTGTGGTACTCATATTGGTTATCCACCAATTCTTCCATCTGCTGTACCTGCTCATGTTTATATCTAACACTCTCTCCCCCTTTTTAGCCACAAATTTAGATCCAACTAACAATTAGCATAAATCATAAATTGTACAAATACATGTGTTTGGGGTTACAAAAAACTGCTCAGATAGAGCATAACAAAAACAGATTGTCTTAACAGCACTCACACAAGACTAAAAAAATAAATCAAACCAATACATTAGCAACACTGCTTCCTGCACCACCTCAGCCAGCAGTGGTTTGAGCTATAAGGCATTAGTCTTCTTTTGTAGCTAAGCTGGACCTGTCTTCCTCAATCTCTCCAGAGCCTTCTTCCTCAGCATCAGTGTCTTCCTCAGCAGCATCTTCCGAGCCTACTTCCTGACTTCCCTCTTCCCTAGTACCATCATCTTCCTTTATGGCACCTTCTTCCCTTGTAGCATCCTCTGAGTTGTCAGTATCCTCATCTAGCTCAAGAGATTGCAGCAATTTTTCCAGTGTTTTCTTTCTTGCATCCAGTTCCTTGGATGTTTCTTTAATGATGGTTATCACTTCAGCCTTTTTGGCTTTGGGACCCCTTTTTGATGTCTCAGTGGATGCCATGGCAATGTCTGAAACATGGGTTCCTTGAAACAGTTTGTGATGAAAGGCTAATGGAGTTTCTCTTTTGCTTGCTACATCATTAGTCTTGAGGATATTTGGAAACTGTGCTAACATTATTCCACATATGAGGGAAGGAAATGCTATAGGCCCTTTGATGCTATAACTGCCAGCATACTTCATTGTTTGATCAAAGATGTATGTGCCATAATCCATTTTGGTCCTGGTTCCCACAGCATAGATGACCCTCCCCAGGATGGTGGCCACTGATGATTTGTGATTGGTTGGCACCCAGTTTGCAGCACCAATCTTGTGAAGCAAGGCATATTTCATGCTCAGCTTACTGGCAGCAAGCTTCCCTTTTGATGGCCATTTCCTGACTTGATTTCCAGTTATCACTTGACATATTCTGTTGTCAGAGATGGTTAACTCAAGCACAACCTCATTTGTTCTCTCAAGGAAGTTATTGATGATGGTGGGAGTGAAGACAACACCATTTCCCCTGACAAAAACTTTCCCAAACTCAGACGATTTTCTATCAACACATTTATCAGATAAGTTAACTATGAATTCTTTGACCAGAATTTCATAGCATTGGGAGAACTGAGTGTCAGTTTTCATCAAGCCAGCTTCACATATAAGGTTCACAATCTCCTTGTTATCCAGAGCATTTTGAGCAAGCTCTCTCTCTAGGGCCAACCTCTTTTGGTATACATACTTCCACCTGATGACACCTGAGGGATAGTGGAAGGAGATGTTGTCCAGGGGCACTTCAGGAACATTTTCAGCCAGCTTGCTTGAAGCAGGTTTCCTCTTTACTGGGATGTCAGTGACATCCATATCAACATCCGAATCTGTTTCTTGTTCTGGTCTCGATTCAATCTTTCTCTTCTTGATGGTCACCTTGCTCCACCCTTTGAAGGGTCCAACCTGAGTCCTTTTAGTTTCAATCTTCTTGGTGGTATCTCCTTGCTCGGTAGTCTTTTCAGCATTCCTTTTCTTGGGTGAGTTTTGGTCAACTATCTTTTTCCCTTTTGTTTTCATCAATCTTTTGGCAATGTTTGGATTGATCGTTGCTATAAGTTCATTGTCAGAGTACTCGTCTAAGTTGCCTACCTCCGCATCTTTGGCTTCATGCAAATCATCATCCCTTTTATCAGACCCTTCATCCTTATTCTTCTCTTCTGGGGGGTTGCTTTCCATTACTTTGACATTGTGTGGGACATTACTTTGATCACCTTGATTAGGCTCAGTCCCCTTAATGGGAATGTTGAGGGCACTAGCAACCATTGCAGCAATTTCAAGGTGCGTTCGTCTTGCTTCTTCAGTATTTAGGCCACCAGAAGTAGTTGTGGGAGTATCTTGCCTTGAGCCAAGGGTTTTTGCTTGTTTTGCATGCTTCCTGTTAGGTTTCTTAACCAGCACTCCTTCAGGAGTCATCATCCGCAGTGGAGCAATCTCTAGAGCCTCATTAGGGTTCGCTTTATCTGGACTGATGTTCATTCTAGAGGTTGGTTGTGCCATAGTCGTTGTCGTTGAAGACGATGAGGGAACCCTTTTGTGCTTGTTTGAGATGGTATGGAAGCTGGAGCGTTTGTGAAGGCACCAAGAATAGAGAGAGTGTGTTATGTACGTGAGAGTGAGGTATGATTGCCCACTAGGAGGGAACGTACCGTTTTGACTCATCATTAAATGACTTAGTATCAAAATGTAATTCCCCATTTCCCTTAATTGCTATAACTCATCAGTACTAGAGGAACTTAATTTTTTACATTGAGGTTCCTTGATGTTTCTTGACTTCTCGTCCGCAATATTTAGGATATGGCCAATAGGTGTTGCACATGCTTTTTGCCCTTTCCACACGTTACCCTCAGACATGTCTCCATTGACCTCAGCAGATTTTGTTAGAATGGTGCCCTTAATGTTACAGAACAAGGTCATGACATTGGGAATGACATTGCTTCTTTCATGCAGAGTGTCCTCCATGGACTCCATTAGGTTCCAATATAGCATATCTAGCTTTACCTGATGGCC